AGGGCGGGGGCTGAGCCCGGCCCCTCTCAGCGCTTTTCTACCAGAGAGAAAGTCCCACCGCGCCAGCGATCCCCTCCCCTGCACGGCTGCGTGTGTCTGGGGGTCCCCGGCATAGTCCCCCCTGCTGCAGAACGGTGCTCAAACCCAGCCAGCCGAGAACACCGGTTTGCTGATGAAAATGATGCACATGGCTTTATTCAACCTACTTTGCCCTAAATTGCAGACAGCAGCCTCCCACGCACCACTCAGGGGTGTATCTGTGGCAGTCTTCACCGAGTTTTTCTGATTTTCATGCTTGCTAGTTGATGCTTTCTATATTTGGCACAGTTAATGTTTTAAACTTACTTTACCCGCACTTGTGAAAACGTGTATACAGTGAGTGATTTATCAAATCGGTGCAGATCATGGGTTAATGACCTTCAGACGTAGCTGCTTTAATTATGACAATAGCTGGTATTACACAAAATACAGGGCTGTGATTGCTCCGACCTGCTGGTCCTGGACTAACAACTCTTATTCCCTTCCTGCTTAGGACGATGGCTTCTATCTCTGAGCGCACGTTCATCGCCATCAAGCCTGATGGAGTCCAGCGGGGACTGGTTGGAGAAATCATCAAGCGTTTTGAACAGAAGGGATTCAAACTGGTGGCCATGAAATTAATACACGTAAGCTTTCCTTCATTTGTATGTCTCTTTTGTCATATAAACTGCAGCCTTAAAATAGAGCAGCATGCTATAATGACAAATGTAGTCTTCAGAACAGCTACACCTGAAATTTTGAGAGGTCTTTGAATATTTGGGGTATTTTTTGAAAATTCCCGATTTGGCTAAATGCTTTAGACATGCTAAGCACGCTCTTTTTAGTAACTTGATGTCCTTAGTCTGAAGAGAATATTCTTTTAGGTGCATTCTATACCTAATAAATATCTCTGAACATCTTCAACAAATACTAGGTGACATGAACTGTCTATATTGGCAAAAAATGCTTTTCTAAGTTCAGCTGTGGTTAAATCAAACAGTTGGAATTCATATCGACCCGAAGTACTTGTAGGAAGATGATAGAAATGATGAATTTTTGAGTGCGTGCAAGTTTTAGGATTAATAGTGCTCTTTGGTTAATCTATGCGATTTCAGCATGCGATTCAGTATTAAGTAATTACAGTAAGCTTTTTGGGTTGGTTGGTTTTTAATGCAGGCCTCAGAAGACCTTCTGAGAGAACATTACATTGACCTAAAAGACCGGCCGTTCTACAACGGTCTGGTGCAGTACATGCACTCTGGACCTGTTGTAGCTATGGTGAGTGTTAAAAATTAAGCTCTGCTTAGAAAAAGATACTTTTTATTTGTCTTACCTGCAATATATTGTGTGACCTATTGAATTCAGTTTACTTTTAAAAGGACTTAAAAACCTGGATTCAAATACTATAATTAGGAAGATGTGCTATTAATGCCGTTTTCTTTAATATTTTTTCATAATCTTTCTCTCTTTTGAGTCAGTATGTTGAGGAAGAGGGCAGGGGTAAAGGGGGAACCGAAGCTGGGTACTTGAGAAACGGTAAACCTGCACAAAAAAACCCACCATGAAACGCCATGTATTAAGCAAGCTGAAAAATGTTGGTGGAATATTTTTACTATACTCCTAAGCTATAGTAACATTCACAATATTTTTCAGTTTAATTTCATTAGAAGGGATTTTCTCTTTTACCCCTTGATAGTGTGTTTGTAAAACGGTTGAGCTGGAGGTCTAGATCTACAATGAGCAGACAGCTTTGTAAGGCTCTTTACCATACTGAGATTTAAAATTGTTCTCTTCCCATCCTTGGTGAGGAGAGGTATTGTGCAGAAGGGGAAAACTTCAGCACATGCTTCACAATTCTGACAGAAAAATTGGAGGTAAAATATGTGTTGCTATTACAAATACTCAGATGGTGATTTGTGCTATGATGGACAGCGTTGTGTAATTATGGAAAGTATGGTTAAAGCAGCAAGAGTTATCTACTGCTAAGATTTAATAATCTCAATAGGTTTTTTTTGTTGTTGTTAAGGTGTGGGAAGGTCTTAACGTGGTTAAGACAGGAAGAGTGATGCTGGGAGAAACTAATCCGTTCGATTCAAAGCCTGGCACTATTCGTGGTGACCTCTGCCTTCAAGTTGGAAGGTATATTTTGAAACTCTTGACATCATCTAAAGACATTAACGCCCAGTGTTATGTCATGATGTCTTATAGACGGAGCTGCCTTTCCCTGTGCCCATGTAATGTCACGATCTAAAGATGGAAACTGAGTTGTGATCTCCACTGACAAAAATGATGAGCAAAGCTGGGCCTGCATACTCTGTGCTCACTTTACAGTTAGTTAAAACTTATCTCCAGAATAGACACCACTTCAAAAAAGGAGCTAGCTTTGCTTTGAGTTGGAGGATTATATTACTTTTATATCCACCTTTTCTTTTCCTAGGAACATCATCCATGGAAGTGATTCTGTAGAAAGTGCTGAGACAGAGATCAATTTATGGTTCACTCCTGAAGAACTGGTTGATTACAGAAGCTGTGCTCATGACTGGATCTATGAGTAAAACTGAGCCTACACCTTCCGTATCCTTACTGTCAGTAAACAGCTGCTAGCCTCTCGCTCTTTCAAAGCCCTGCATATAAACTGGTAGAAAACTGTCTCGGAAACCTGTGAGATTGCTCTGTTGTGAATATTAAATGTAGTCAGTGTTGGCTGCTGTTTTGGTTAAAAAGCTGTCAAGTTATAGATGGAATCGTACTTTTAAAAAGCTGCTTCTGGGGTGAGAGGTATAATACTAAAACACAGAGCATATAATGCATATATTTTCCTGAAACACTGTGCAGCCAGAGGGTATTTGGGTAAATAGAAAAAAAATGGTAAAAATTTGTTTGGTAAATAAATATGCAAATGGCTGAGTGTCAAAGGTTCACTTTGTTAAATGAAGTGTTTAGAAACTAACCAGCGTTAGGGGACAACTGGTGGTACGTAAATATATCGATAGTGTGCCCAAATGTTGAGGATTGAGCTTGATTTTGAGTCAAGTGAATCCCCATGAAAATATGGCTGCAGAAAAAATCTTATTTATTTCTCTCTCCAGAACGTGCTGTGCCGGTATGCAGAGTGTAGCTCTGGAGGAACAAGGAATGTGTCAGGGTCAGTATGACCTATATTTATTTACCTGCAACACTGTATTCATTAAAAGCAAGAGTTTCATGAAGCTGGCTGTTTAAACTCCTAGACTTTTTTTCCTACAGTAAGTTCTCATTTCAAATACTAAACTGTGCAATGAATGTTGAATTCAGTGCTCACAATACTTTATGAAGGTATGTAACTCCTAAAAAGAGATGGTACAAAATAAAATGTTTGCTGTTTCTTAAATGAAATAAAAGGAAAATTTCATGATATTGTCTTAGATCTGATTAATGAGTATAAGGAGAGGGAACAAATTCTGTAACAATCTGTAGGCGAGGTGGGTTGTTAGCTTCTCTTCTGAAAATATTCAGTGTTACAGAAGATAAATAATTAAGGTAAAGGTTGTTAGAGAAAAGGGAACATGTGGTAAACCTGTGCATGAGGCGAGTCGTCTCCAGTTCCATTGCTGCTTGACAGATTACTTGAGACTTCTTTTCTTTGATTTGCTTACTAAAAATTAGGGAACTTCAGGTTATCTGGAGATGTGGGGGGTGTCAGAAAGCTGCTGATAAATGTGCTGAGATGGAGAGGAGGTGGAGGTCAGCCATCTCTGGGGGACGTGCAATGCTCCTGCACATCCGAGGAGCCCGAGCACATCCAGTTGCACTAAGGGGAAGGGGCCCGTCGATAGGAGTGTCTGTGCTGCAGGGGGGGGTTCACTGACACTGTCACCGCAGTGACGGTAGACGGTTATAACTACCTCAAGAAGGGAAAAAGTGTTTTGTAAGTTAATAAGGGCCAAGTAGTAAACATCTTAAAAAGTAACACCACCTCCCAATTCTTGTTACGACGTGGGTGCAGGGCCTGTGAAGTTTCACACCTGCGTTTTGACACTCTGCAGCTTCAACTCCCCAGATCCCGACAAAATCACCGCTGAGTTCCCTGGTTCACAGATCCTACGTCCCTTTCCTGTGAGAAACATATTTCCAAGCAGCTCTAAGACGTGCTGCTTCTCTTCAGCGAGGCTGGCAGGGCCAACCCTGCGTTAGCAGAGCGCAGAATAGCTCTGAAAATACCGAAGCGCGCGCCTCTTGCTGGAGAGGATTCAGAGCGGTCGAACACCCTTAATCTTTTCGGGGCGGAAACCGCTTTACACCGCCGCAGCTGCAGCCGAAACCCCCGGGCCGGCCGCCGCCCGCCCCGACATG